AAAAAAAAAAAAAAAAAAAAAACAACAATTTATTAGAACATACTCCTGGGATATGTCATACCTACCTGCCAGATTCTGAGCATGTTTTGACGCCCTTCCTCCACCGTTCTTTCCTTGTGCGCCAGAATTTCTGAAATTATTGCCTGAAACATACCAGATTCCATTGTTTGTTAACACAACACAATTCACAGATGGGATTTCCAGAATATGTTGAATAATAACATACAATAGGCTTTGCACTTACAGCCTGGCTACCATCCTGGTAATAGTTTCAACTGCTCCGATAGTCACTACCTACTCCATAAGCAGAGGTTGATGGGGGAAGATCGTTACCTTTTTATATTTGGCCCATTTTTTTGTGGACCCTCTGTGGCCAATGGATACTGCCTGGCCAATTTGATACTGTCTTTTTGCCACCCTAGGATCTGCTTGGAGATTAGTCACTACCCTATTGGTTGGTGGGGAGCGACTACTAGTATTGGAGTAGACAAAACTAACCCGGATGGTGCTCAGGCTACGCTCAATGTGTAAAAAAAAAAAGAAGAAACTAGAATTCCGAGATCTCATACCTCCATGAAATATGATCTTGATATGTAAATGTAAATTTCTTCTTTAATTGTGCAAATGACCTCTGCATTAACATGATATATGCATCGTGATGTATGTTAACTTTTGATTAACTTACAGATGTCCCAAGTATGACATTCTCATCATTCACCATTACGAAATCATATAATTTTCGCATTAATTATGCAAATTAGGTCAGCATTTGCATAATTAGTATCTGTTGAAGTTCCGCCTGCCATAGGTTACATACATTACATGTATGTAAGTAGCATAATGTAAAACACTGTAATTATAGAATTTCCTCATTAATTATGCAAATAAAGTACTCATTTGCATAATTTGCATTTAATTATGTACATCTCTCTCTCAGCTACCTACACACCAAAAATAATGAAAATATGTTGTTCCTGTCTGGACTTATTGGCTTTTAAACATTTCGCCAGAAAGTGCCCTGCAGTTCCAGAACAAGCCGCTAGGGGGCCCAAACTCATATGACTTCTTCCCAAGCACGAGAGCTACCTTCCATCAAAATTTCATGACCCTAGCATGTCCAGATCGCGAGATATCAAAACCGGAAGTTGCGCTGCAGTACCAAGGGAAGCCACTAGGGGGACAAAAATCATTTCCAGTTTTCGTCACACCCTACCAACACACCAAGTATGAAACCAATCCATCCAGGCGTTCTTGAGTTATCTTGTTGACCAACAGACAGACGGACAGACGGACAGATAAACGCAACTGAAAATATAACCTCCATGACACATTTCATGGAGGTAACAACTCAGGAAAGCAGTTACCAGATTTTGTGCGGTAAGGTGCTGTACAAAGCTGGGTCCTTTGTTTGGTATAATGGCTGCAATGGAGGCAGTTTTACTGTCGTCTTTAACAGCCGTGCTGCAAAAGGCGACATCGCTTGTTCTCGAACACGACGCTGTCGCCTGAGGAGGTGGCGTTGTCTTGGCTGCGAGCGATTTCGTCAAGAACGGAAGCTTCAGACTGGTTGCATTGGTTGACGAAACGACGGCGGCTGGGGACCGTGAAAGTCCTTCAGCAGACGTGGACGGCTTTGACGCGGCGGTGTCAGAAGCAGGGGAGGTACTCAATGACGTGCTGGGATCCGTCGAACTGTTCGCACAGCGCCGTGGTACGTCCGTGATGTTTTCTTTGATTGGTTGGGACAGGACCTCTGGATCTGTCGCCAAGACGGACAGAAAGGACATCATGTCTTTGCCGGCCTTGGCTGCGAAGGCGTGGAAGGCCTGCTTGCTCATGGGAGGGCCCGTTGGCGAAATGGAGGACGACGCTACCTGCCTGGCAGGCGGGGACAACTGTTCAACCTTTATCTCCTGTTCTGTTAGAGGAACAGCAACCGAAGATGAAACGTCCTGCAGTTGAGGGCAGCTAACCGTCGAGCTAGGCCTAGGGGTGGAGTCGGCCACACTCTCTGGTACCGGTAACCTTGGTGACGGTTGTTCTGAGCTCTGATTGGCTGGTGGCACTTTTGGTTGGTCTTGAGTGGCGGTTGCGTTGGTGGTTGTACCAGCGGGGGTCTTTGCTGGATTATTTGTCTCTTGAATTTTCCGCCACATCGCTTTTGACCTTCGCTGGGCCTGGGAAAGCAAACCTGTAAAAACAAACCAAAACATTGTACATGTATAGGGGATAACATATTATGTACATGCATAGGGAAAAACATGTACAATTTTGTTTAGGGAAAAATATATGTACATGTATAGGGATGAAATGCATTTTTCTCCTTGGTTCATACCATAAAATTTGTTCCATTGATTTCTATGGTTATATTACTACCGAATGATTCTTCTTTCATTACCAAGTGGTAGAAGGAGAAAATGCACATGGATGAAAAGTATTCAGGTGTAAACATGCAAGATATTGTTACTGAATGACATTGACTCTTTTGCCAAGTAGTAGAGGAAGAGGGGAAAAGATCTTACAGTCAGGTCTCATCCCGGCAGCCTTACATGACCTGAGTCGACACTCAGGACATCTCCTCCTGGTGTACAGGTCCATACTGCACTGGTTCCCCCATTTGCACACTTTCACATGACCGCGGGTTACACTTCGGCGGAAAAAACCTGCAGTAAGAAGAAATCAGAGGGATCAGACTTCTGGAAGTATTTTTGGGTTTTAGTGACCTTCAAGTTTATCCCATTTCCTGTATCTGACCTTTTGACCTCCTGACATTCTGCCTGTCAATCTTCCCCCACCCATGTGACAGACTGAATAAAAAGTTCTACATGGAAACTATGTGGATCAAGATGTCTTACTGAGGAACGACTGCAGTGTGATAGATGTTAGATGTTAGCTTGAGGAATGAATCTACTTTACACTGGTTTATTGCTTTGTCGATCTGTAAACGGCTGTGTGAAATGTCCAGTGTGAAGGCTAAATGTCTGTGTGCTCGACGCCACCTCTTGCTTTTAGCCTTCACTGCTGGCTAGGACTATAAGGCACTGCCGATGAAACAGTCTACAATTGCTTTGTAAGCCACTCACCCTTGCAACCCTCGCAGCTGAAGACACCGTAGTGGAACCCGGAGGCCTTCTCTCCGCACACGAGACAGTCACTACTGGTCATGGCTGACATGGCCGATGTGACGGCTTCCTGCACCGCCCCCGCATCATCATTGTCCTCAAACACAGCCGCGATCGTCACCCTTTTACTCATGGTGGCGCACGGACTACTTCTTTACCTCTGAAAGAAACACAGAAATTCAACGTAAGGAAAGCAGATACTTAAGACTCCTGGGAAGTACAAAATCCCTGGCTTCCTGAATTGTGATATATATTTTAGTACTCTCCAAGCAGAGGTTGGTGGTGGAAGTTTATTATTCTTTCTATATATGCTACGTTTATTTCTGTCGCTACCCCCACCGCAGAATACTATTTCAGTACCTCTCAGTCCTGCTGGCTCCTGGCCAGGTTATGTCAATGACTTATGAGACTTTCAATTTTGACCTCCTGTCACTCTGCCTGCCCTGTCAATCTCCCCTACCTACATGCTGTCAACCTACTCTGTCTGGAAACCCACAGCGCAGCCACCCAAAACAATACTTCTGTACCTGGGAGTAACAGAGGTTGGTATGTTATATTGGACAAGAGGACAAGAGGATAAAAACTATGCTACTAATTACAAGGGTCATGATCTATGTTATGTCTGTAACGTCTGGTACTAGTACATAGAAAGGTGCAGGTTAGATGCAGGTTAGGTATACGTACACAAATACCTACACAGCTCCAATTTTACCTGCACTAACCTGCAAATATGCAGGAGGTATTTTGAACCCTACTATGACAACAGAGACTTGTCTTTACACTAATGACAGGACAGGCTACTGCATGACTCATACGTACAATATGAAGTGACACGTTGCCACCAGTCAGGGTCCCAGGTACATGTAATGTTGTTTTTCTAGACACTAGTAATCAAGCCGGATGTTCTGCTTACAAACTGTGTCAGATAGCAATACCCAGCGGCCCAATAACCCCTCAGGCACTTGCAAAAATAAATACTACAGTAGTCTACACATGCATGGTTTCCAAAGTACTAGTAGCTTTTTCCCCTGCTGAAACTTGTGTGAAACACTGAAAGGCATAGCAACAGCACGCAAGGCCGTCGTCAACGTGGATGTCTGGAAGCTATTGGGGAGACGCGGCAAATTGTACGGCTTCGCGCCTGCGCCTTGACCCCAATTACAACGTGTGAGAGGTTTAGATTAGAACACTGAAAAACCTTTATTTTTCTAGGGATGATCTTTGTGAAATTCTGACACATACAGTTTTGTGCAAGACTGGCTCTCAATCTGGCAGGACAGGATTTATATATACTTGTTATTACTACGTGGTTTTAAAAATATGACCTTTTTCTATAAATTAGTATACGTTGTATATTGCACACCCCCATGAGACGGTGGAATGATCTTTAAATCAATTAAAGTAGGCTCCAAGGCAAAGGGACCAATCCAAGTGCTCCAAATCTGCTCTGTTGACTCGGAAATGAAATCATCTAGTCTAGTTGTCGAGAAAACCCCTTTTCGTTGGCTCGTTGATTGGATTAAAATACCAGTGTGGTGAACTATTGCAGTTGGTTATATGATCCCTAAAGCAGACCACTAGTACTTACGTAGGTAATGAGTCTTTAACCTTTTGTAAGAAAACACTTGCCACAGTATGATTGTGTTGTAGGTCAGGCATCTTTCTACGCAGACTGAGGGCTTGAAATAGTATTTTTTTCTGCATACCTGCACGTTGGGTGTAGGTAACACTGAACCTGTACCAGACAAGTTTTACCAGCACCACTCAGAATTTGGGATCATACTAAAACTGTTCAGAAACAAGTGCCATTACAAATGTATTCATAGGTCTTCAAATCCGAGTTCTTAGTACCTGATTTTTTGTACTAGTAACCCAGTACCAGTAATGGACCAGGTCAGGTTAGGTGCAGGTAGACATCAGAATGTGCAGGGGGTATTCAAAGCCCTGGTCAGGACACCAGCCACAAAACAGAACACTTAGATGTCCGAACAATACAATGCTAACACTCGTAAACACTCTACCAAAAATAGGAATGCAGTAGAACTTGAAGTGTGGAGTCAAATGGCTGAGTGGCTAGGCTAGCGGACATGTGATTGCGAGGTCGCGTGTTCGATTCTCAGCTGTACCCACTACACTAGGCTGCACCATTGGTCTGTCACTCTAGTCTGAACAGATATAGAGTGTGAGACTTGCAGGTCTACATGATCTGCCCATACCCCAGTGAGTGTGATAAATGATTTGAGGAAGGGTGCCAACCTGAGAGTACGCATCAATTCAACGTACTCTCCTAGTGATTCCTAGAGATATGCTCTCTTCCAGCATCATGCGAGCACAAGGCACCAAGAGTTAAATACCTAGAGAGACAAGTTGACTGAACTGAACCAAGTGCAAACCAGCACCAAGAGACCACATCTAGCGAGATATTAGATGTCAAACAAGGACAACAACAACCAACTCCGAGAGATAGGGGTGTTAGGCAGTCGGTAATAAAGACCCGGTTGATGGGTTGAAGTGTTCAGTAAACCCTCTACTTCCATCGTTGAGTCGGGTCATTCTGCTTCAGACTTGTCCCTGCCCTACACAGGTACCCCTCCCACCTGACGGGGTCATATGGGGTTTATCTATTTGATGATGACGATAATCAAACCAGTCCAACTACATAGAGACCACGTCTAGTGAGATAATTGACATTAAGCATGGAAGAAGAAGATGAACAACAATATACATATAACATATTAAGTACTTACACATTGTAACATATTTTGCTGACACCATCTTTGAATTGATTGGGACTCGAGTACTCAGACTTACACTTTCCTAATTATTTTTTTCACCAAACAATGCTACTTCCGAAAACCCTGGATTCTAAAGATAACGACAAACCATCTAAAACACGAACGTACCGTCTCTAGATAACGTGTTGTCCCGGGCCGGCTTTCTCAGTCGTGTATAAAATATTTATGGTGCAAAACATCCAGGTCGGCTCAACCCCCACACCCACCCACACGCACGATTTAGCTTGTATAAACAACGCTTTCGAAGACACGCTACGATTTGCGATGTCTCTGTGCCTTACATACGCTTCCGTACCATATATACTGCCGATTCACGCCACTATCTTTAGGTTAGACTATCAAATATTGACATATACATGTAGGCCAGTCACTGGCGAGTTTTCACACACAAATAATTTTGTTTACCCCAAAAATATCGGCGCCATTTTTATACAACATACAGCCAAATACTAGAAGGCTGTGGCACGTTTTGGACAACTACTGACTACATATGAAGCTTAAATGCCTGTTTGAAGAACGTAAACAACTTAAGGTACCTTAAATGAGCCAGGGACTATATTTTCCTGTAAAGAATTTTCGCCGTGCCCCCGGCCGCAAGGTCAATGCCCGATCTCTGAAGTTGTCTGACCCCAAAATGTGGTCAGCTGACGTCTACGTCATCAAGTCGCCAGGGAGCGGGGAGAAAGGTCAATGACCGGTCTCACCTCCAAGCAGATGTTGGTTGGGAAAATTTACAGCACTACTACAGGGACCAAATAATCCAGTTTTTTAGTTAAAAAAAAAAAAAAAACTGTTGGAGACAGCTTATTTTGCCCGAAACACCAGCGGAGTAGAATACTAATTAAAAACTGGATGGACACATTTGCGAGCAAATACAGAATATTTCTCTCCATCTCCCTCCTCGAGGCGCATACAGAAATTGACTGTTGTTCATTTACTTCTCTGTTCAGTATGTTAATTAACATATTGTTAATATCAACCTTTTGCTGATTTGCTGAAACGGACTTTCCTTTCAAATGGACTATCCCAGCATCACTCCATTGAGTCCATTCAATTTGAACCGCTACAAAATGGTTGTTTTACCAAAACTTCTGATGCTTAATTTTTTTCTAACTTTTCGAATATATGGATTGTCTATTTGGTCCTATTTTTATTTCTATTTTAATTTTTCTTTCGTTTTTCTTACGCTTTTGATTTTGATCCTTGGAGGTAGAAAATGGGTCAAGTGAATGTGTACCACCCGTTGTTGCAGTCTACA